CAGGAGGCAAGTCTCTATTGTCCCATCACAACCCAAATGTGGCCTGGTGTGTGCACAGACTGAGGGCAGGAAGCAAGGGACTGGGCTGGGAATGAATAATGCAGTGGCCATTGCAGTGGACAGAGCCCTCTGCTTTTAGATTCCAGGGTGCAGTGACTCTCTCAAGTATTACACCAACAAGGAGCATTCCAAACCTACATTTAGAAGTCAGAGTTTTCTCAATCTCCTGACTTTTTATCTGTGGATTATTATATATGACAATTGGGTGTGTGGAACCTATTAGCTAAATGGAGAAAAAAATGAGCATAATTTCCTGGGTCAGAGGAGGGGAGTGTAACATATTTAATGCCTTCCATGTGGGAGGGGAAAATGTTAATGTGTAAAATCACAACTGGAGGCCTGCGAAGGGATTGTAGAAAATTGCTGTAGCAAAACATTGGCAGGAGCCTGGCATTTGATATGAGCTTTACCATATCCAGGCTCTGGGCACCTTCAGGCAGCATTGGAGCAGAGAGGGTTACTCACCTTTCCCGACCCTCAACTAGGTCACAATAGGAGCATTACAAGTGTCTGTGCTTCTCCCACTGCACCCAAGTGGCTCAAAAGGAAAAGGCATGTTGTTTTCTTCATATGCACTGATACTTGACAAGTTCTTAAAAGTTTAATGAGAATAAATGTTTGCCTTGCCAATGAAAGGGAGAGACAATGCATGAGTTTTGTTCTCTGTGTGGAGAATCTGGTGTTGATCTTGACCACATGGAAGGAAACGTGGGATTTTCCATGTTCTCTGACCCCTGACACCAGAGAGGTGAGGGAATTATTCATACTTCTTCCCTGGACATCTTGGAATTTCTGGGGAAACTAATGAAGAACTCCTGCAAATAAAACAAACAGAGAGAGAAATTTGGCCTAAGCCAAAGGACACAAGTGAGAATCAACAGCCTGCACTATTTCCCGTTATTGACTAAAAATGTATTAGCCATTCCCTGTGGTTGCCTTTTTGCTAAGCCCATTCTATGTACTAACTTATTTCACCCTCAATTACCTTATAAGGCAAATGCTATTAAAATCTCCATTTTCTGTTCTAAAAAATGTAATTTGCACAGATAGATTGGCCTGTCCAAGGACACTCAGGCACAGAGGACTAAGGGGTCATTTGATCTTTCACCTCCTTGAGTTCAGAGGCCGTGGAGAGGTCACTGAACCACCCCCCCATGTCCTGAAGCTTCTGGGACAAAGACCACAGCTCAGGCCATAGCTGAGCTCTACAGTCCTCCACGGTGCCTGCTGGGTGATGCAGGCCAACTACACAGAGTGAGTGATCCAAGGAAAGGAGGTGAACCTCTTTAAACAGCAGGTAACATTGCCCCAGAGATCCTAGCTTGTGTCTAGGATAGAGATCAAAGCCTGAACTTTTCATCGGTTGCTATTAATTAGTATGAAAGCAACTCTCACATCACATTCTGATAATCATAGTCTGTACCATAAAAACTGTAATTATGACAGTCATGGGCTAGAGAGAGCTGCAGAAGGGAAGAGAAGAAAAGGAATTCTGTGTAGGTAGAGGGAAAAGCATTCTTTTGTGACCTTGGTTTCTCTAAGATCCAGCAGAGGTCATCTGATATGCTGGCCACTATAATCGCACTGACAGTCTTACTCAATCCCCACATTGTAAGAAATCGATAAAGAATTAGAACACTCCAAACAAATTTCCAGGAAATCTGATGTGGGAGTTTGGGAATTGTATTGTTTGTTCTTTTTTCCATTTTTATATTCAGTTTAGAAAAGAACATGGCTTATCTGATCTACTCCCCCTTGGCTTGAAATACCTTAAGTGGTAGGGCTCAATGTTGTATGTATGGCTAAAGCGCATAATGATTATCACAAATGATTGAGATTCTTGCAGTTTAGAAGGTGATTATTTCTGCTGGAATAGATTGTAAGTGAATTGTATGCATCTACAATTTAGAAAGTACACAGATTCACATTTTTAAATAAAATTACCTCCCTAAACCTAATGATTTTTGGAAGCAAGTTGATACAGACAACAATAATGGAAACACTTCACAATTTAAAAACTTATTAACAAGAGAAAAGTGGAGATTACTTTCAAAGTCTCTCACTGGAACAGTCTGGCAAGGGCTGTCTTTGCCTCTTTATAGAGACGTGATAATAGTTGTGGCTGCAAGACTATGGATTAACCTCCAGTAAGAGGAACCTGAAAAGAACATTCTTAAATGTCAGGATACCTCTCGGAGGCACCTGATTTTCAAAGACATCCTTTGTGCTGTGAAATTGTATTTTTTTTTCTTTATTTTTCTCCAACAAAAATATCATAAACCAAGGGTTGTGGAGTCAGGCAGGTCTCACTCTGTGTAACTTTCGGGCTGCATGAGGGAAGTGGGTCCATGTGTTAGCAGCCAGCCAGGTACTTAAGGTCTGTTTGGAAGCTCTGGGTTAGCAATAAAAATCACCCCAAGTTTCCACTTGTTTAATGAGAAAAACTCATTCAACAACCTGCCACAAAGCCTCTGCAGATCTAAGACCTCCCAGTCCCTGGGGACAGGCATTTTAAAAAGGAGAAAGAAACCTGTGCATGGTCCTGCCTAGCCAGGTGAACTCACAGACCCCGAATAGGGCAGATTGTGACTTCCGCTTTGTCATTATCTCCCAGAAAGCCCAAAAAGTGGCATTTCTAGGCAATGGTCACAGAAATGATGGAACTATTCACTGGCCATAAAACTACCTTACAGCAACAGCACAGATGATGAGGAGAATCAGAGTCCCAGGACTGAATGACACATTGCCAATTAAATGATGTAACTTCTGTAAACTAGCTACTTCATCTCTTTGAACCTCAGTTTTCCCATTTGTAAGATGATAACCATACACCCACACATACATGCCTCCAGGGCTGATTTGAGAAATAAGATCCACAGCAGAGCCCAGATTCTGGGCAGAAGACACAGAATCTGGTAGGGCTAATTTAAAGACAATGGTACTACTTCCTACAAGAACTCTCAAGTGTTTTATAGTAAACATGAGAGGTTAGCATCCCAAAAGCATGCTCCCCAGCAAAGGGCAATATAAGAACTCAGTAGGCATGGGGAAATCCACAACTGAGATTTCTTGAAACAGAAGAGCTTTCTCAAAATTCAGTGGTCCAAGAGAGCCTGTCCAGAAAAATTAAATTATCTTTAAATTCACCCATCACAGCTAGCAAATAATGATTTTGCTCAATTTACTTAAGAACATTTTTTCACAAAAGAAATAAAACATCGCAAATACAATGTCACCCTCTGGCTCTTCATTTCATCTTCCTCTCTTCCTGCCCAAAAAACATTGGAATGTATCTTTACTACACATGTTTCTGTAGCTGTACTTTATAGGCATGGTTACATGAGTAATTTATAATGCTGGTGTCTTTCTTGCTTATATTAATGATATCCCATTCTATAGAGTATTATGCAAATTGGTTTTATCATCTAATGTTATCTTCCTGAAATTTATCTATGTTGAAGTATATAGATACAGTCCATCTGTTACAATTGTTACATACTATTCTGTAGTATAATTTTATTAAAATTGACTTACCATCCTCTAACTGTGGGAACCTAGGAATTTTCTAAAGTTTCAATTTCACAAAACTTGTTGCAATGCACATCTCTGTAAATCTCTGTCCCTCTGTAGGAAAGTTTCAGTCAGCTATAGCCACAGTGACAGAATTACTGAGTAGGGTATGTGTTTCCTGATTCTCAATGAATGCTCCCAAAATACTTTCCAAAGGAGTTGTATTTGTATTCATTCCTGCCAATCTATAGGAGCATATCTTTAAAAACATTTTAGCATTTGAGTCTATTTTATGTGTTTGCCTATTTGGATAAGGTGAAAAATCTCAGGGGCAAAAACCAAGGCAGGAGATGGAGTTTCTGCTGTCAAGGAGGAGCCACAGCCCTGTGCTGCCTGGAATGGACCTGATGGTTCATTTAGACCCATGGTCCCTACACTGCTACATCCACATGTGGGCCTTTTATTTACAATGCCAGTGCATCCTGTAAAGAATGAAACACGTGGCCTATGTGCTGGCTGTTCAGAAGCTCTGGGTGATTCAGAGAATCACATTTCAAAAGAAGCAGAAAAACCACATCCCAACACCCATGGTTTTTGCTGGATCCCAGGGGGTTGTTTCATCCAGGATGGTGCTGGGAACACTCTCTGTAGAGGGTTGAGTAGTAACACATTCTCAGAGCCACGTGATCCCAGGCTCAACCCTCAGCTCTGTCATCCTAACTTGTAAACAGGTGCATGTGAGGAGCATTCAGGTGTGCAGGGGAAGGCTGCTCCCCTGCCCTTTGGCTGGCTCCTAGCTAGCAGTGCCTTCCTAGCAGTCTCAAAAGACCCAGGCGTTTTCACCTCTGGATGTGAAGTAGGAGGTCAGAATTTGAGAACCTCTGGGCTGTGTTTGAAAAATCATGGCACCCAGGAAGCCTCCCACTCTTCTAAGCTCATGTATCTTGGAACCTTGAGGCTCTGGCTGCAGATGGGAAAGGAAGGGCCCCTCACCACAGGAAAGGCCTTTCCACCCTTTGAGCTTGCCCGAAACCCATACACAAGAAGGGCTATTTGTCTGTTTGGTTTTGGGGACAACACTGGCAGAGAGGAGGGAGATAACTCATGGTGATGACACCATAGCGTACACTCTGAGAAGCAGACAACAAGGCTATGTGCAGGACACACTCCTTGCTGCCATCTTCCTCTCTGCTTCTCTTCAAGACCAGCTCCATAGGATCTAAGATCTGCCTTCCTCCCACAGACCCCTGAGGTACTCCTGCCTAGGATCTGGCTCAGGCCATTGGAGCACTTTTCATAGGTCTAGCATGTGGCAAAGGCTTCATATGCATCTATTCAGAGCTTTGCAATATGGTCATTGATACTAGTATCTGCCATTAGTGGTGACCTGCCAGTACCCTGGGTCACAACTAATTTGTTCTCCCCTCCAGGTACCAGCAGCACAGAAGTGAAGGAGAACCGTAATGTGAGCAACTTGGGAACCAGGCCCCTGCCACCTGGGGACAGGGCCAGAGGCAGTACATCCAGCATCAAAAGGAAAAGGCCCTTGGAGGAAGGGAATGGGGGCCACATCTGCAAACTCCAGCTCATCTGGAAGAAGTTGTCCTGGTCAATGACACCCAAGAATGCACTTGTCCAGCTGCATGAGCTGAAGCCAGGCCTACAGTACCGAATGGTGTCTCAGACTGGCCCGGTACATGCCCCTGTCTTCGCTGTGGCGGTGGAAGTGAACGGATTCACATTTGAGGGCACAGGGCCCACCAAGAAAAAAGCCAAGATGCATGCGGCCGAGCTGGCACTGAAGTCCTTCGTGCAGTTCCCCAATGCCTGCCAGGCCCACCTGGCCATGGGCAGCGGCACCAGCCCATGCACAGATTTCACTTCAGACCAGGCCGACTTCCCAGACACTCTATTCAAGGAGTTTGAGCCGTCTGTGCCCAGTGAGGGCTTTCCAGCCTGCCGGCCCATGGACCCCGAACTGCTGTCCACCGCTTACCGGAGAGGGCGGCTGCTGTACCACACCCTGGACCTCATGGGCCCCGCCCGACCCGACCGGCCCTGGCCTGCTCCCGCAGCCCCAGGAGAGAGGAACCCGGTGGTCGTGCTGAACGAGTTGCGCTCCGGCCTTCGGTATGTGTGCCTCTCGGAAACGGCCGAGAAACCGCGCTCCAAGAGCTTTGTCATGGCTGTGTGCGTGGACGGGAAGACGTTCGAAGGCTCGGGACGCAGCAAGAAGCTGGCCAAGGGCCAGGCAGCACAGGCCGCCCTGCAGGCCCTCTTCGACATCAGGCTGCCCGGCCACACCCCCAACAGGAGTAAAAGTAACCTCTTGCCACAGGTGAGAATTCTCATGTAGCTGCCTGCCAGGTACAGGGATGCTGGGATGGAGGTGAGCTACAGGTGCTCTTGCAGCAACAGGGAATGGACAACAGCTGTGAGCAGAGTGCAGCCCCCAGCACTGGCTGTTCTGGAAAGGCCCCCTTTCCTAATCTTAGAGCAATTTCCAGGCTTTGGCAAGAGAGGAAATCGTGTGACTGTAAAGAAAGGAAAGAGAATGTCAGCACTCCAACTTAGCAGAGGTAATGAGAGAATTCATGAAGCCAGGTAATTTTTACAATGACAGCACCAGCTGCCAGGGCAGCCAGTAGCCAGAGAGCAAGGGCCACCAGATAGATGGGCGATCCTTCTGTCTTCATTGAGTGGCTTGACCTGCAGGAAGGGCAGGTTTCATTTACAGGCCCTTCAGTAACAGCATGCGGAAGAGTGGGAGGAGAAACGTGTTGAGCAATGGTTTGGGCTGAGCTTCTAGCCAGGGAGGCTGGGGAAAACCAAGCAGATATTGTCACTGCTTTTCCCTCCGTGGCCCTGGATGAGACCAGGTAGAGGTTCTCTGGGAAGGAGTGCAGCAGAGGCCGAGGATCAGAGAGAGAAATCCATGCTGGAAGGCAGAGGAGACTAGACTGAGAATTTAGGGGCCAGAGTCTCCCTTTGCTCAACAAACAGGATCATCTCTCGGGCCTTTGCATGCACAATTGTGGCTCTGCTTCTTTACTTGAGTTTACCTTCACTCCTTTAAGAAGTATTTTTAGTGATGTCTGTGTGGCAGGAACTATTCTCATACCATTTTAAAACAGCCTTATTCTGACAAGTCTTATAATTGCTTATTTATGCAAATTGTCTTTTCTCTTATCATCTTGAGAATTATTTGTGGGCATCACTAATGTAGTAGATACAGAAAATTATCTTTATTCATTCTGGGCATCAATCAAGGCAAGAAATACTTTACAGAGTTAAAAAGCATTTAGTCCAGTGTGGGATTCACTGTAAGTACTTTATAATTGTAACCTATTGCTGTGATCATACCATCATTACATCACTACACCTAGAATAGAATCCATTATTTTGTCCTGGGAGATCATAAACTTGTTAAAGAATGCAGGATATCATTCAAACCTCAGATGCTGTGCAGGGATACAGTGTGGGGGCACAAAGTGCATACAGGAAGCCTTCACCTTGAATCATAACTGTGTAGTACCTTCATGTTAATTCACGTTAATTCAATGGATATTTATGTGATTGTAAGCAGGTAATCAATGGGGCAAACAATGGACAAAACGGCATTCTGCTTCTCACAAAGATCAGGTGAGTGAAGAGAGAATATTAATAGATAAGGAGATGTGATGGAGGGATGACTGCTCCTCCTGGTATCTCCACTTTCCATTCACTCACTTAATTTAAGCATTTATTGACCTTCCAATGATAATTTAAGGAGCAGGTGGGAGGAGTTTAGGCCATAATCTCCATTGAACTTGCCTTTCAACTCACCCTAGATATATACACAGTCCAAGTAAAAACACGGTGCTGGAAAGGCAAGGACAGCTTCTTTGTACATTACTGTGCACCTCCTGGCAAGAAATTCTGTGGTCTTGCTTTCTCTTTCTTATGCCTCCATCTTTTTTTATTTTCTTCTCTTCTTCCTTTCTCTTCTGTTTCTCAACTATCTGTAGTCTAAATTTGCCAGAACATCCATGGAAGCACTTTGCCTACTGCTGTCTACGGGAGAACTGGGCAGAGGGTGAGCTCCTCCTGATGCTGCCCTTGACCTTTGACATGACCTTGGTCAGCTGGAACTTCTTGCCACATCTCTGGGAAGCCTTCCACAGTACTTTGTGGGTGTCTCCCCCATTGCTGTTTTATTCTTATCCAGCCTGAAACCACTTTCCAGAGAGCCTGGCGCCCTCCCAAGGCCCTTATCCAGGCCTGGAGTTTTTCTGTTTAGTGCGAAATGCCCTTTCTCTCCCCTCCCACCACCCCTCTCTCCTGAGTCCCGCTGTGTGAAATTGAAGGATGTCAGTGAATTCTGGGTGTGATGCCTCCTTCTTTCATGTTGTCAACCCTGAGCTCTCACGATGGAAAAACCAGGCAGTGCTACTACTTTGTAATAGTCATTTGACCCCAGAATACAGCACATCAGTTAAAGCCACGGCTGCTAAATTATTTTTCTCTGACAGTCTGCTAACCACTCCGACTGGATGATGAAGGGCACAGAGCCACACAGAGGTTTCGGGCCATTCATCACACCACGGCCTGCCGCCGTGCCATGGGGCTCATTATCCTCTCTCCTCAGACCCCTCAAAATGTGCACCCCCTGGCTAGGTGGAGGCCAAGCATGACATTGGGACTCAGGACCAGGAACCACAGGCAGTTTTATGAAATTAAAATCCTGTCTTGGTTGGGGTCTGGATTGAGGAAATAAAATCAAAAGAAAAGCTTCCAAGAATGGCTATAAATGCTGCTTTGCCTTTCTGTGCTGCCTAAACCCTACCCTCTGAGGAACTCTGCCTGTGCATCTTGGAATCTAGCCTGCTCATCTGTAGATCATGAAGCCCCCATTTATAGGGTGTAGAAACCCCATTTATAGAGTATAGAAACCTCATTATATATTATAGACACTTGTCTATATGTCATGAAATTCCAGTCTTTAGATCATGGACCCTTACACTTATACATTATGGAATTTCCATCTATACATCATGAAACTCCATGTATATATCATAGAATCCCCATCTATACATCATAGAATCCCCATCTATATCTCATGGAACCTTGGTCTATACATCATGAATCCCCATATGTTGATCGTGGAACTCCTATTGACACATCCTGAACCCACGATTTATATCACAGACCCTCTACCTGTACACCATGGACATCCTCTGTACATCATAGGCCCCATCCTATCTAAACACCAGAGAACCTTCCCATCTATGTGTTATGCCCACCTCATCTAAACATCACAGAATCCTTCATCTTCACTTCATGCATTCCCTTTTATGAAACACCTCATTTATACATCACAGCTTCCCAATGCATATATCATGGACCTCTTTTTTCTGTGCATCATGATTCCAGCTCAAGCAGACCGCTTGTTCCAAAGACACCATGACTCTGCTGCTAAAGGCTTAGCTTTTCATGACCCTTGTCTAGCTCTTGTCCTAGCACCTGCTATGGCCAGAACAAATGAACAGTCTTCCCAAAACTGTTGTCCACAGTCTCAGAAAAGGGCAGACTCCACCTCCACTGAGCAATGACAATTCTACCAGAGTCTGCTCTGGAAATGTAGCAGCACCTCCTGTCAGAAAGGGATAATTTCTGGAATCTGGGTACCGACACCAATTTTTAATATTCTTTGCCCGGATTCCCAGAGTCTACCCTACATGGGTAGTATTAGATTTGCAGGATGACAACCTAAGTGTTTGTTTCTGAGATCCACATGTCAATTCCATAGAAGCCAACAAACTGTCAAATGTATTCATGTTTTAACCAGTGGCTGGGTCTCGCGAGCAAAGCTTTAAAACCATCCTGGTGGAACTTTTCTCCTTTAAGTGATAGTCCATGAGAAAACTGTTTCACATGTGATGTTGCATAGAAGTAGATAGGGAAGCATGATTAAGATGCTGCTGTGAGACATAATAGCGGAAACTCAGTGGGTTCTCAAAGGGGATTGAGAATTTGTATTTCCAGTAGGTACTTCAACTTGATTCCTGGTCAGGGAACTGCACAATCAGAGACCCAGACGGACACCTGGAGCATGTTATGGGCTGCTGTTAGACTCAGCTTGGGGTGGAGCAAGTCTCACTCTGTGTCAAGGACAATTATAAGGAAGCAGAACCCCCCAAACTTGCCTCTAAGAGCAGCAATGTGTCTGCATGCTTGACTGTAGTTACTTTTACTAGAATTCCAAGTAGCAACTGTCCTGAAAATGCCTAACATAACTTCCCAGTGGTGACATAGTACAGATTTATTTGCAGTCTAGACTCTGAAAGAGCATGATATTCTTAATAAAGATCTAAATCACAGGTGTGATTTCACCAGGATCTGATTTTTACCATTTCCTGTACCCAGAGGTGGATCTCAGAATCTGGCTCGGCTGACACCTTCAGTTTCTTGAGATCTAGACTCTTAGCTACAGTGACAAAACCTAGTGCATAGTAAGTTCTTTAAAGCATAGAACAGATTTGAAAATGAAACTTTTGCTATTCTGACAGAGAGTATGCAAACCAGGTAGTCCATAAATATCTGATAATAATGACAATGCCTACCAGAAAATATCTGAGAGCCTCAGTCCAAATTCTTCATGCTTCTTTTATCTGCAGTTAGTACATTGCTCCTCTGGGCTAACCAGACACTTGGAAGTAATAACAAGACCACATGAGAATATACTTGTTACCTGAAAGCATCATTGTGAAAAATGTTAAAATCACAAAGCCCACTTTTCTCTTTAATCTTCAATTTCTAACCTTAGCATGAAGAGTTGAATTCATTAAAAACATAAATTCAACAATGAAAGATATACTTTCCATTTTCTTTACATGAAAAAAATGGTTAGAAAAGAGAATAGAGTGCATATAATGCTATTTTTAAAAAGTAAAAGTATCTATGCTCATAATAACTCTGAAAAGGCATTTTTTGACTTGTTTGTAGATTTTTCATTCACTCTCAATTATTCTCTTTATTTTAAATTTTTAAAAATCTCATGTCATGAGCATTGGTGCTCACAATGCCTACAAAGATTGAAGGCAAATAAAATACACTTTTCCTTTACAGTAAGAGAGGGAATACTTTTAAAAAACTATTCACAAAGGTTGGTTGCTTTGACCAAGCCCTTTAGAAAGCCTTTTAGAGAAAATTAGGCCTGGGGCTTCAGTCCTAGCCATTTTTCAGCTGCCCAGCATGCTTACCTAGCACCCTATCTCCTGCTCTTTGCAGCTATTACTACTTGGAGGGAGAAGAAACCATGGGAATATATAAAGTAATTGAAATGAACATTTTTTAAGT